CTCTGGGTGCTCCGGTTTCCACCACAAGTCCAAAGACATGCGGTACAGGTGAATTGGGTAAGCTAAGTTGTTCAGAGTGTATGTGTGTGAATGCATGTCAATGGATGTTTTCCCAGTGACAGCTGGAAGAAATCTGCTGCGTAAAAACGTGCTGGATAAGTTGGTGGTTCATTCCGCTGTGGTGACCCCAGGTTAATAAAGGGACTAAGCCGATAATAAAATGAATAATTGGATTACAGGTTCTAAGTTCTGTTTGTTAAAACCAATAGTTTCTTGCAGTAATGTCTTTGTAATAAATAGAAAGCAAATCACATTATTACAGTCCGATCCGTGACTAAGAAACAATAATCTAGATCTATTTATTTTAACAAATCAATATAAATTATGCCATATACTGCAATGGTTTATAAAGTAAAATTGCTTTCTGATATCTACATGGCTTTGGTAAGTTAAAAAAAAATCTCCAGAAAGTGATTTATAAGCTCTTTTATCACTCCATGAAATACCCATAGAATTAGAAGGTCCACGATTGACCATATAAAGCTCACACACACAGAGCATAATGTACGCTGTACACTGACAAATATAAACCCAATCAGAGTAATGTTAACCTGTTTTGCTCACTAGATCTTTTGTGGTTAAAGACTAAATTATCATTAAACTTGGCAAAGAGAGTGATAGAGATGTATCTCATTGTATTTTGAAACTACAGTCAAAGAAAACACAGCCAGGAATTAATATCAACCTCTGCATGAACACATGATATTGGAGCTAATTGATTTGACATTATTCAGCAGTCTACATGTGTTTGTTGAAACACACATCAAATTTATCAATAAACACGATAAATTAACAAATAATGTAACTAAACATACCTTATGCCTCTTTAGAGTGGAGATTAATAAATGTATAATTTGTAAATCTAGCATTATGTGTCCTCAGGCCAGTTTGAATGTGTTTTGTGCTGTCCTTGCCCAGTAAAACACCGAAACGGGGCTTGCGTTTTCAAAATAAAAGTCTTGCATACATAGTAAGTGAATTATGTGCCAAAAAATAACTACAAAAGGAAAATAATTGTTGTCTCATTAGAAAACGTTGTTGCTTATCAAACACAGCCTGAGGTGTGCATATTAATGATCACAGAGTTTTTTTTTTTATCTCAGAGCTTGATGACATGGCTGCTTGTCAGGTCCGGATGAACGACCCAAATTAAGCTGCAGTCACACTGGACTTTTCTCCCCATAGACTTCCATTTAATAGTAATTGATGCGACTACTTTAAAAATTGTGCAGTCTGAACTTGGCATGTTTTACACTGTCTTTTATTCTCTAAAAATAACCTGCTTATGAGAGTTGTTCTTTGGATGTTTCACACTGTGGATTATCACGCAGTAAACAATGCAAAATGTTTTCACCTTTGCAAACTCACCACTCAAAACAGTGACTCACAGCCCTTCTCCACAATATTTGCTAGATGAACTGTACACTACAAACCTGAAACACACAGCTTTTTGGCAGCTTCATTCTGTACCGCATGGATGAACCTCAGGAATAACAGAAAATCTTCATTCACCTGAAATATACACATTATTATTACTTGCTACATAGACTACGCATTATGCATAAATCATCATTCAGATTGTAAAGTGGTGCCTCAGAGGTCTTTTGGAACACAGTTAAAGAATTTATAAATAAAATTCAGTCATGCAAAATGTTGTTTTTCTCTCGCTCTTCATTTTCTGGAAGACATTTTTTTAGTCCCTCAGCCCTACAGGGTTTCTCTAATTAAATTTGCTCTCTAATGAACAAGCTGATGTATATGCTTTTTTTATTTTTAACCAAAAGAAGATACAAAGCAATTTTCTGTTAGAGTAAGATGTTAAAGACGCCTCAGAATTCAAAAACATTCAATTACATACTACAGGAAAATGCTCATGTAGAAAGATAATTCGCAAACATATTTTGAGTACATTTAAATATGATGTTAAGTCAACATGGTGGCTCAGTGGTTAGCACTGTCGCCTCACTGCAAGAAGGTTGCCAGTTCGAGTCCCTTCTGGGCCAGTTGGCATTTCTGTGTGGAGTTTGCATGTTCTCCCCGTGTTGGTGTGGGTTTTACTCCAGGTGCTCCGGTTTCCCCCACAAGTACACAGACATGTGCTATAAATGAATTGAATAAGCTAACTTGTCCATAGTGTATGTGTGTGAATAAGTGTTTTCCAGTACTGGGTTGCAGCTGGAAGGGCATCTGCTGTGTAAAACACATGCTGGATAATTTGGCGGTTCATTGCACCGTGGCACCTTCTGATGAATAAAGGGACTAAATAAAGTGAATTAATTGAATAAAAAGATGCCGCACTGGGCGATCACCCATATTGCCATTGCCTAAATCCGCCACTGTCTATACATATAAAAATAAGAAGAGTAAATTGATGATTGAAAGAAGAGTGAAATGATTTCATTCCGACTTTAAGATAATCGGTATGCTGGAATCATTATAAGGAATCAGACATACTGAGAATGCAGGGATAAAAACTTATTAAATAAACAGGCCTGATATTTTCAGTGTATTTGCTTGGTGATATGAGGCCATAATATTTAGCAACATTAAATTGAGCCTTAGAGTAAGACAAATCAAAAAGGACATTGTAGATGAAAATTTGTTGTCGATTTTAAATCAAGAAAGGCTTTTGACAATTAATTGATTTGCAGTTTTGACTTGTTTCTTTGATGTTCTTTTGACATCAATGTGCCCCCTAGGTTCTGCCCGTCAGACTGTTGTATTAATTGTGCACCAAAAAATAACTCTAGACCTTGATATTGTGGAGAGGAGACAGAGTGATGAAGCCAATAAGGACATGGGGATGGTTAAGAGGTCATGATGGACAGAGGCCAGCGGGCAAATTTGTCCAGGATGCCGGGGTTGAATCCCTACTCTTTTTCAAAGGACATTCTGGGATTTTTAATGACCACAGAGATTCAGGACCTCGGCTTAATGCCTCATCCGAAAGACGGTGCTCACTGAGCAGTATAGAGTCCCCGTCACTATACTGGAGCATTAGAACCCACATATACCGCAGGTTGGGCGCCCCCTGCTGGCCTCACTAACACCACTTTAGGCAGTAACCTAGCTTTCCCATGTGTTCCCCCATCCAGGTACTCACCGGACGCAGCCCTGTACAGCTCCAGTGGGCGACCATGAGAGAGTTGCAGAGAGTCTCTCCACACCACCACCAGTGTGCAGCATCCAACAGGACAATGACGCCAGTCCACTTACCACATACCAGATACTGGTGGATTAAAGAGACAGCAATAGAGTGCCATGGAATTTTTAATGCCCACAGAAAGATGGTGCTCACTGACAGTATAGTGTCCCCTTCACTTTTACTGGGGCATTAGGACTCACACAGACCAAAAGATTGAGTATCCCCTGCTGGTCACGACTTCCAACAGTAACCCAGTTTTCCCATGTGGTCTTCCATCTAGGTACTGACCAGGCTCAGCCCTGCTTAGCTTCAGTGAGTAGCCGGTCTTGGGCTGCAGGGTGATATGGCTGTGGCTATGGCAGCTGGTAGCACGAAAAGAAACAAAAGCCATCAACAGCGTCATACTACCCCATTTGTCTTAAAGAAGAAAATGCAGCCTATACATAGCTCTGGCTACATAATGTGCAATCTCCAGAAATATATACAGGGGTACGTTTTCCCAATGAGCCTGTGTTAAAAAAATGCCTGCATTATCAAAATTCAAAATGGTGGAAAAAATCAAAATGGCTGAAAGAATATGAGGGGACATTTTAAAAATTGGGCATGAAGAATATTAAGAGGATCATCATGCTGGCATTATTATAACAAATCATACTGAGAAAGCAGGAATAATACAAAAAAATAAATAAACAGACATGTTTTCAGGGTTGCTTTGCGAGCATATAACAACATCAACTTTAGCTTCAAAGTTAGAGTAAGACACGTCAGAAAGGACATTGTAGAAAAGACTTATTAGGCCAGCGATGATTAATTTAGAAACGCCTGTGTGTGCTGTTGTGCGGGTGTTTTGTAGAGTAGTTTTCTAATCCCCTTGAGTTGAAAAAAGGCAGCATGTGACCCATTAACCGTAGTCAACCTAATTCTCGTTTTTCTCAGGCAATAGTGTGAGCGTCCTTCTTTCTGTCTGCAGGGACCACAATAACGAAGACCAAAGGGCCAGTGAAACAGTTTTTGCATATGGTCCTTTGGGCTTGACTGAGATTAGAGAAATTAGAATATTCCTAATGTTGGCCAGTAACCCCTCAGTGTCTATGGGGAAATCAATACAGTTACAAAACAGACTAGGGTCTCAAATTAGGCCTCCCTTGGCAGCGGTGGGAAATCTGCTTTGACGGGTGGCTTCATGCTAAGTGCACAGCCTTATGAACTTGACTTCAACTTGCTCCGCTAACTTCATATGTTTGCGTTCTGACTTTCTTTAGAGAAAGACAAGGATAGAGGAAAAGAGGACAAGAAGTTCTAACTACCAATTAGGAAGCAATAAAAACATCTCTCCCTTGTCAATTTGTATAATTAGCATTATCGCACACTGTGATTTTCATGCCTAGCTTGTTTCTCCCCACATTGTTCATCGGCATGATGGATGTAGGATGGATGTGGCATGATGGATGCATCTTGCCTACTCATTTCCCTGATGTCACAGGGTTAACAGCTTTTCTAGAGATTTCTCTCCAGATAACACGTGCTTCCTGCTGTGGAGATAATACATGCAAAGTATCAGTTCAACAGCATTGGGTCTCCTCTTGTTCTCTTCATATACATTTTATGTGTTCGTTTTCTTTAGATCAACCCCAGACTGAAGATACCAGAGTTAATTGCGAAACAGTTCAATTGTATGTAATTAAATTGTCTTTTAAAGTGTATGAAATGTACCACATCCACAGAGACTATGTATTTAGCAGCGTGTGATAACATCCACTTTACCGTATATATGCAGGTGAGTCTACATACAACATCAGAATACAAATCAATATTCTTTATTTCACATACATGTATTTTTTCTTTTACTTTGAACTGTTTACAATCTAAATGATTCAACAACAAAATGAGAAACTACCACAACAAAGTCAGAATTTCTTACTAGAGAAGGAAATAAAAGTAATGATGAAAAAACATAATGGTAGCTTGGATGGAAATGGAGACATTTTGTATCTTGTACCAGATAAGGGGTTAGAGTCACAGAAATGGACAAGTGCACAACCGAAACATGGCCTGTGTTAATTTATGCGTACACTTGGATTAAAATCATAGTTAAAATAAAATGAATTTTAAACCATTCGAAAATCTTCACATTGTATTATTGAGTTTGAACGCAAAGGCCTTTGTTAATAAATAATCTCTCTTTTTTTTTCATCCCAGATAATAAACAAATATAATATTCTTCAGATCAGGAGAATAAATCGGGGTAGACAAACGGCGCACACACGTGTTCCTCGGAGTAACATTTCACACCTGCTTAAGCCCTTTGTCCTCCGTTCTCAAACAGTTTGAGTAGTGAGACGATGGCTTGGTCGTACGGTATCTCCTTCGAAACATGGGAAATGTAAATTTTGGCGTTCATTGCATTTCGTGAACAATGCAACAAAAGAAAGTGTTTATACATGTTAACATACACATACATAACTGAGCATTACGTACATATATGCAGGATAATGAGGGAGAGAACAGATTCCCGATCATCTGTTGGTCGCAGTGAGAAAGCATGTGCGAGCCTCGGCAAATAAGAGAGTAATACTTGAATTTTACAAATCGGTTCTGTACACAATTTGTGTTGGAGTGTTGGTGAACATCCCCTCCTTCCGAGAGGGTTTCATATAAATTCGAAAATGGTTCATTATTGACACATATTATTCCCTTTGTGTATCCAGTGAAGTCAAACTGAACCAAAACCTGGATTGAATCTTAGGGACTGTGGACTTTCCTGGCATTGAGTTCTGTTTCCAGGTACAAATTGTTAAACAAAGATCATTGTAAATTCCCTCTGGTATTCCTTTAAATGTCTTAAATCATTTTCATGTTAAAGCGCCGTGGCCCAGCACCCTGGTCCACCTCCTCACCAGAGGTCCCATTGGACTTGGAGCGTGGCACATACTCAATATCAATGTTGTTTTTATGTTTGCCTTTTCCTCGACTCCACACAAACAGGAGCAGGAAGCAGAAAAGAACCACTCCTAGGAATGTAAAACAGCCCATGGCTGTAGAAACTAAGATAGTCTTTAGATCCAGGCCAAAGGTCACATTAGGGAGGTTGGTGCCGTTGGCAGTGGCATTGCTTGTATCCGTGTAATGCTGGGTCCTGTTGGCATACAGCGAGCCCAGACTTTTCACTGACAGTGATACCATAAGTGTGTCATTACCTGCACTGTTGGAGGCCGTGCATACATACACACCGCCATCCTGAACTTCCACCGCCTTAATATCCAATGAGCCGTTGTTGTGGACCATCACTCTGCCGTGGTTCCTGTTGTTCAGCTGTACCTTACGTGGGGAGACCCAAGAAATAGTGGGCCGTGGGGTTCCCTCCGCAGTGCAGTTCAAATGGGCAGACTGTCCCTCCTCCACAGACACAGACTGAGTCCGATTTCGACGGATCTTGGGCTTGGTGCAGGTCACATAGTTGGACAGAAGAGCTTCTTTGAACTCCTTGGATTGCCGTCTTTGGCTGCCCTCCGGACTGCTGCACTCAGGCTGGGTGTCACCAAAGGAGATGGAATGGTGCCTCTGGAGCAACCACATGAGTCGACAGTCACACACCAGAGGGTTGTTGTTGATCAACAGCACCTGTAGTGCCTCCGGAGCATGAAATGCCCCCTTCTCCAGGGTGTCAAGGCGGTTGTGGGAGATGTTTAGCAAGCGGAGCCAGCGGATGCCCTGGAAAGCGTAGGGTTCGATGGACACCAGATGAGATCCAGCTAACCTCAATTCACGCAGTCGCACCAGGTTCTGAAGCAGGCCACCTTCCACTGTTCGGATGCGACTGTAGGAGAGGTTAAGGTGCGTGAGGTAAGGCAGGTGGTGGAGAGCCTGATAGGGGAAAGTGGACAAGTTGGTGTTGGTGACAGAAAGCGTGGTGAGATTGAGGCCATGCAGAGAATTGGCGGGGAACACATCTAGAGATGGCCAGTTGTCGATCTCTAGGTGACGGAGGTGGAATAGCTTTTTGAAGGAGTAGGGGTGGAGAGTGCTGATAGTGAGGTAGCGCATATGCAGGCTCACCAGGTTGTGCAGGTGGGACAGGGCATCTGTGGGCACCACCGTTAAGTTACAGCGCTCCAGTGTCAGGCTCTCCAGAGACAACAGTCCACTGAAAGCCCGATGGGAGATGTAAACCAGCTCGTTGTCTCCAACATCCAATGACCTGAGGTTGCGCAGGTCCTGGAACATATAGTCCACCAGAATGACAACCTTATTGTCGCTGATATCCAGGTTTGTTAGATTGGAGAGGCCGGTGAAGACGCCTAGAGAGAGGAGCTTGATGCGGTTGCTCTTTAAGCTCAACGAGTGGAGGCTGTAGAGCGAGTTGAAGGCTCCAGGCTCAACATAGGCAATAATGTTTCCACTCAGGTCCAGTTCTTCTATGTGTGGATAGGCAGCAAAGTCATCAGGGTTGACAGCCTGAATGCGATTCTTGCTGAGATCAAGGATCCTCGTCTCGAGTGGGACTCCATCGGGAATGGCGGTGTAGCGCTTGCGGTGGCAGATGACAGATCGGCTCTGGGCGGAGCACTCGCAGCGGGAGGGGCAGGCCAGGGTGGAGCCCACGAACACGGCCACCAGGGCCAGCCCCAGCAAAGGCTGCCAGCAAGACACGGCTGTGTGCAGCATGACTCGACTCAAACAGTCCACCATACTGTCATGGCTCTGAAAGAAACAGAAAGACCAAAGGTTAGAATATGAACAGAGACATCTTGATTTAACACATCTCATCAGGTTACATTATCAATGAAAGATTCACCATTAGTAGTTGGTATCTTTAAATGTAAAACAAAGGGTCGTCTAGAACAGCAGGAGAGGCCACTGAATGGACTTGATATGAATTTGTTTGTACTGCACATAAAGAAGGAGCTGAAGATTGGTGCACATACAAATGAACATCGCCTCAGTTCTTGCTTGTGGGTTTGTATGTGCATGGATTGATTCTTTATTGTTTGCACATGAATTCACAGCCCTATGGGTGTCCTGCTGTTTTTCTTTCTCAGTCGGTTCAGTACTGTTGAAGATTCATACATTCTCACCATTATATTTCTGTTGTTTTGTGGTTTACTAAAGAGGCTTATTCCAACTTAACCTGTTTTCTCAAAAACTGTATTACTTAAAACTGCTGTTCCAAGCAATTGATAAACACATATTCATCAAATGCTAATTTAATTGTAATCATCCACAAAACATTACTTATGGAACAAATATTACAGAAATAAGTTAACTTAAAGGGCACCTATGGTAAAAAATCTACTTTTCAAGCTGTTTGGACAGATCTGTGTGTTGGTATAGTGTATAGACCGTCATACTGGGGTGATATGAACACACCCAGTCCTTATTTTTCAATTGAACTGCAAAAAAAAGGGTCGGCCAATTGGAGCTGTTTTCAAATCGATCGTACCATTACGTAGGTGTGCGATACCCCCGCCCACCGAATTGATTGACAGCTGCGCGCATTAACATGTTCCGGTAGTCGTGTGTATATGTCAACAAGACCAGACAGACATACGCAAAGCAACCGGGAATAAAAGCTCTGTTCTGTTCGCTAGGATCAGCAATCATCATCAAATGTGATTAAGAGTAAGTTTCACATGTTTAAAGTGTTTTAAAACAGAGTATGTGTGTAATTAATTACAGCGTTTTACTTCAGCTTTACTTCATCAGCACAGCCACGTGTGAGAACAATTATAAAAGAAGACGCTTCAATCCCAGTTTGTGGAAGTTAAATCAGGTTTATTTTGTACATTAGCATAACAGATGTCATCTGTGGTGTGTGTGTGTGTGTGTGTGTGTGTGTGTGTGTGTGTGTGTGTGTGTGTGTGTGTGTGTGTGTGCGTGCGTGCGTGCGTGCGTGCGTGCGTGCGTGCGTGTGTGTGTGTGCGCGCGCGCGTTAACTTTGTAACGATATTGTGTGTGACTCATCAATGCAACTTCACAATACTGATTAGTACGGTTAGTTCTTACTGTAGTATCTCACAAACGCTACGTGAGACCTTCTTCCTTTAAGTCTGTCTGTTGTCTGACGCAGTTGAGGGAGGAGACATGTAGTGGGCGAGAAAGTGGGCGGGAAAAACTCATCTTAAAGGCGCAGTACGACAAAACCACCCCCTGCTGGAAATCAGTATAAAACAGCATCTTGTAAAAGGTATAATGAAAAATCTGATGGGTATTTTGATCTGAAACTTTATATACACATTCTAGAGACGCAAAAGACTTATATTAAATCTGAAAAAAGGGGTAACCTAGGTGCCCTTTAAATAACATGGTTTTAATTTTAAAGTGGACTGAAGCATATTTTGCTTAGTGTTTGAAATATTTTGTTCATTAGGTCTAATGTAAATCTATTTGCCTTGAACATCAAATACAGTGGGTGACACTTTAAATTGAGCATTACAGGCTGTGCCTTCTACTGCCGCCGCTCTAAAGGAGTAATGGCCCACACACACTGGGACGCTTTTTTCTTGCATTTTTCCGTCGTCGTTTAATGTGGGCCTCTATGTGATCGTGTACACCAACACACTAAACGCCAGGTGTAAAAGCATAATTTTTAAAGAAACGCCTCATGCTCTTTTTTTTTTTTGACACTCCGTGCTAAAACCTTCTCCTCCAATCAGATTGGCACTTTTGTTCATGCGCACTGAGCTGCTGAAGTTACAGTTAACAGCACTTGGAGGCGCGCAAGTGCAAAACTGTCAATGCGAGCACTCATTGAAGAAGATGCCCAGAGGCGATATGAACGTGGAGCTGCTTATTACACTGGTCAATAATAATCATTTCTTCATCGCTGGAGCTGCTACTTGAATCATCCATGCATGTTCGAGTCACCAGTAACTTTAAAAACAAGCATGTGAACTTCCTCTCTTCCTCTTCTTTTGTGTTATAAGCGGGGTGTCAGAAACTTAAAGTTGTGTAGCGCCATCTAACGTCAAGAGGTGATTTAGCATAATCTTCTGCTTGACACCAGTGAAAATAAATTGGGTTTAAATCCGGAAAAACAACTCATAAAACGCTGACGATAAACGCAAGCGAGAAGTGTTTCAGTGTGTATGAGCCTTTAGAACGTGTTTTTAGGTATGACCACAGTTTGCGACTGTGCCAGGGGGCACAAAGGGACAGAAATAGGCAATACCAGGGGTGGCCAACCCTGTTCCTGGAGAGCCACCTTCCTGCAGATTTCAGTTGCTACCCATATCAAACACACCTGAACCAATAAATTAGGACCTGAACACCACGTGATAATTACAGGCAGGTGTGTTTGATATGGGTTGCAACTGAAATCTGCAGGAAGGTGGCTCTCCAGGAACAGGATTGGCCACCCCTGATCTATACAGTAGCTGTAAACACTCTGCTACTTGGAAATGAAGAGGAAACAATGAAACAAAGCAATATAATTCCTTCATTAAAACTTGTTAACAAATGTTATTATCATTGTAAACTAGTAAAGTGAAATGAGGATTCATTTTGGAAAATAAAATAAAAAAAATAAAACACAATTAAAATGAAAGTACAAACATACCTAAATATAAATGAATAAATAAATAAATGAACAAATGAATAAATAAATCGACAGATAAATAATTAAATAAATGAACAAATGAATAAATAAATAAACAGATGGATAGATAAATAAATAAATAGTGCAATGTTTTACCCTAAATATAGAGAAATGTACAATGTTATTTTAAAGTATTAGGACAAAGACAGTCAGTAAATAGGCTTTTTCATTTACATTTTCATTTACTATCTCATTTTATGTCTCAATTACTGTACATAAACAATAAATAAATAATTAAATAGGCCTAATTATTTATTTAAAGACAATACCAGCGAAGCAATGAGAAACTGTCCAGCACTATTTTTTAGATAGGCCTACTAAAATTTAAAAGAAATCTGCAAAGTGGGGCTATATTATTTTAATTCAAGCCTAAATTAATGAAATTAATTTTTTCTGTCTCTTTGACTTGCATTTCAATGGTTTAAACAACAAGGCAAAATTGACCTTTTTATAGGCTATAGGCTACTATATATAATAGTTAGGTTTTTACATATAGTATTGCATTAATTTTTACAGACATTTTATAGTTATACCTAAAATTAACGCCTGGATCCATTGTTATTATTTAAAGCATAAACCTGTATTTGCTTCTACTTTCCCCTAACATAATTTCCAATATAAATTTAAACAAATATACATCTGCTTTAATAATCTGCAAAGCACAAAAACACACACACATGCACACACACATAAGCAACTGAGATTACAGTGACGTCCAGACTGTGCACTGATGCATCAAAAATATAAATGTTCGGAGGGCAAAATCCACTGGTGCAGATATTACAGATGCAATTACGAAGGCTATTACAAAGGCTGGAAAGATGAGTAAATAAGGCCTCAGAGGTTAATAAAAACATTTACTGTTTTTAGACATTCACCTTAATAGGTCCTTTGGAAAAAAAACTAAACAAATAATGTTTGAAGCAGATCGGTCCTGTCCTGACATCAACACTCATCTAAATCTAGAGTTTGTTTATTTTGCTATGATTCCAGGTCTAAAAGACAAGCTGGCTGTATGTGAGGCTGAACACAATAGACGCATGACAATAAAATGCGCAATGTCTTGTTTGTGAAACACCTGTGGTGCTTCTTTTAAACTTGTAGCCTTGATGTTGAACTCTCTCTGTTGTCACTCTCACCTGTTACATTCTTCTGCCAGAAATTATTCCTAGACCTTCATAAAGGCCTTGATTTTAGAGTCAACACAAAAATCAGAAACATCTTTTTTTTTGTGTGTGTGTGTGTGTGTGTGCTTTCTATTGAACTTAGTGGTCTTCGTATTCTTTCAGTTCCCTTGAAGAAACTTTACTTCTCTACTGGCATCTTTTCTCTGTAACCCTTCCTCTCCATCTTCCTTCCTGGCTCTGGCATGACAAAGCCCCATGCCCAAATATTGTTTACTGAAAATCCGGTTTGAGTTGGAAACTAGGGTTGTGCACAATGTTTACAGTCTTTGATAATATGAATAGAGTTGTTTTATTCATGTCTGAGCTGACATGATTGTGAATGTCACCAACTTTGCAAGAAACAGTATTAAACAGCAAGCAAAAGTAAAAGAGAAAAAGTGAAAATAGACTAAAGTGTAGTGAGGGCTAAGAAAATGCAGCCAGAATGCATCAAGTTATGAAAAAAATATATTTTATGAGAATTTATTTATAGTAATGTAAGTAATGTACATTTAATTATATACAGTCATGTTTTAAGTTAATTATAACCAGTGTTGGGTAAGTTACCTTAAATAAGTGACTGATTACAAATTACTGTCTACTACTGGAAAATTGTAATCTGATTACATTACTGATTACTTAATGTAAAAAGTAATCAAATTACTAATTACTTTACTTTGAAATTACTTTTAAAACATATAAAATATACCTATAAAAATACAAAATAAACTGCAGCTCTTTTAGGAATTGAATGTTCACTGAACACATTACAATGGGTTGATCACAGCAGCTTGATATACTCAAAAGACTCAATATGCATTCTGAATAAGTACGTGAAAGCCACGCGCCTCCATTGGAAGTAATGAACTTACAGGTGCAAAACACGCAATAATGGTCCCATAAGCAACTACACTTCTCTTCACATTCAGAAAAATCTTCAC